CTCTCCACGAACCTCAGCCGGTCGGTGCCGTGAATGAAGTGACACTCGGACTAAACCATCTCCTGGAACAGCGCTGTGTGTGCAGGACACAGGTCCGGGGGTGTCCCCCCAGCAGCCCACAGTAGCCAAGAGCTCCGTGGCAACCCCGACTCCGTACCTTCAGTGCCCCACGGCTGCCATGGGACCCTTCATCCTGCAGTCCCAGTTCCTCTTTTCCACGCTTCTCCCTATTTTCCTCCCCTTTTCCCAACACTCCCCAGTCACCAGCAGCCCTCGACATCTATTTGGGGGTCCCACCTCCCCATTTCCCTTTCCCTCCCCATCGGTCCCACCATCCCACCACTTCCCTTCCCGCCCCTCCCGCTCACCCGAGAGCTCCGCGACCCCAGCCCGGGGGGCTCCCAGTGGCACCAGTAGGGCCCCAGCTGCCAACACACGCCCCATGGCCAGCGCCGGCGAGGCTCTGACACCTCCCCCTCCCCAAATTCTCCTGGCGGGGGGCGCTGGGGGCGGGGCGCGGGTGAAGTCCAGGTGAGGAGCTCTGGGCGATCTGGAACTGCCTGAGGAGTCATCAGCGCCGCGCGCTCTGATTGGCTCAATTAGTTTGGTGTCTTCTCTGATTGGCTGAAGAGAGACCCGGGAGTTGAGAGGAGCACCGGGAGAGATCCTACCCCAGACTAGCGGTGGAAGAACATCCAATTTACAAGGCATGCAGATCATTTCCCAGTGGTCCCCACATTCCTGTAGGAACTAAATGCACCGAGGATCTCACGAGGGTCACCAACTCTCTGGCGGCCAAATCCAGCCCTGCGCTCCCTGCGGGTGCGGGCACTCTGGGAAGGGCTCAGCTGTGGGTCAGATGGCCGGAGAGTGGGTTGGTGGTCACCTCGTGTGTGAGGCAGTGATGGGCTGGGGAGATGCGTGGACACCACATGATCAGAGAGATGACTGGGTAAAAGGACACGTCAACAGCGACACTGCAGTGACAGGCAGCCAATGCGGGCTTGTTTCAGTAAAGTTTGGGTTAAGTTTCGAGTATAAAAAGGCTCACTTGGTTACAATAAACGATCTTCTTCGGAGCAAGCAATCAAATCCATGTGTCTTTGTTCCTCATTGCTACACATGACCATGAGATGGCCATGACGATGACTCAGCTGTGATCCTGACATGACCATCATATGATTGTGGCCATGAGTTGACCACAAGACGAGCACAAGATGAGCATGACCATGAGATGGCCATGACTTGGGGGTTGGTTTTCTCCTTTCCTCTCTCCCTGTGGATTTTTTTTCCCATTGACATGCCAACAAGCACTGATGGCTAGGTCTTAGCAGTGATGGGTAGTGACAGAGGGAGGCAGAGCCTCCTTGGTATTTTGGGGGATTCTCTTAGAGGGCTGGGGGAGGCGGGGAGAAAGGAAAGGCAATTCAAAACAGGTAAAGGAGGGTGGGGGGCAGTTGCTGGTTCTCGCTCACTTTTGGCTCTCAGAGCAGAAAGGTCATTGCTATCCCCCACCATCCCAACGCCGGGAGCTGTCTCTCTGTTTTGGACCCCTCACCCCTGCTTGGATGCCCTCCCGCTTCAGCTTGCTGTTTTCCCAGCATCCTACCTCTCCTCCATCCCTTCCCATCTGGGACACAGCTGCCATCACTCCAGTGCCCCTGCAGCCGCACGGGGATCGTTGCACCTGCCCATCAGGAGCCTACCAGAGCTCACTGCCAGCTGTGACAGCAACTGCACCAAAGGGGAAAGTGCCCGTGGCCCAGAGACTAGAACTGGGCTCCTGTTCTGTTTGTTGTTAATTTCATGGTTGTTTTTACTCCTATCTCCATATCTTTACCTGAGAGCCCCTTAATTTCAAAGTTATACTAATTCAAAGNCAGAAAGGTCATTGCTATCCCCCACCATCCCAACGCCGGGAGCTGTCTCTCTGTTTTGGACCCCTCACCCCTGCTTGGATGCCCTCCCGCTTCAGCTTGCTGTTTTCCCAGCATCCTACCTCTCCTCCATCCCTTCCCATCTGGGACACAGCTGCCATCACTCCAGTGCCCCTGCAGCCGCACGGGGATCGTTGCACCTGCCCATCAGGAGCCTACCAGAGCTCACTGCCAGCTGTGACAGCAACTGCACCAAAGGGGAAAGTGCCCGTGGCCCAGAGACTAGAACTGGGCTCCTGTTCTGTTTGTTGTTAATTTCATGGTTGTTTTTACTCCTATCTCCATATCTTTACCTGAGAGCCCCTTAATTTCAAAGTTATACTAATTCAAAGGGAATGGATTTATTTTCTCCATTTCAAGAAAGGGCCCTGCTTTCCCTAGCAGACTTTCAAACCAAGACACACCTCCTGACCAGCAAGGAAGAGTCCTCCCTGCAGTTGTTCACCCCAATATGGTATATTTTTGTCAGCTCTGAATTTCCCCTTCTCCACCTTCAGGATAAGAAAAAACCCTGACTTTGTCTCTCGGGTTTCCTGACCATTCATAACTGAACGCTGTTGAGATCCTGAACTTCCTCCCATGGTGTCGGGCCCATTGTGCCCCCCCAAATATCTTCCTTTACCCTATAAACAACTGACAGAGATGGAAAGCACAGTAACAGGTCTAGTTGCAGGAATGCACCAGCTACAAATCTGTGCCACCTTCTGTCTACTGCCCTGACCTACCAAAAGAGGGCTTGGGGAAATTTTTTTTAATAAATGCACATGCTCTTTTATTTTTCTTTTCTTTTATGAGAGCTGCCAACCCTTTTGTACCCGGAATGGCTCTCCAAGTCTCTACCCAAAGGCCTGACCCGAGCTGTGATCCTTCCAGCCAGGACCCCACCGTGAGGGGGTGGCAAGAGCTCTGTGTGTCAGCCCGGGTCTGGAGGCTGAGCTGGGGGTGATAATTATCCCTTTTCTAATATCCTGTGAGCAGTGACTGCCAATTCTCCAAGGGCAGTGACACATTTTCACCAGGAGTGTGATGTCCATTGTTACGAAGCTTCCATTTTTACAAAGGAAACATTTTCAGTTTCATTTTCTCCCTGTAGTGGAAGAAGAAAAATCACGGCTACTATTGTAAATAAACCAAAAGCCTTTCAGGCAGGTTTGTTAAGTTGAAACATCTACTCCTCAGAGCACAGCCTCACCCTTTTTACAAGGCTCCCTTTGAATGCAATGTGGAATTTGCTCAAGTAGGAACTGCTGGGTGATGCTTATCAAGATGGATTTTTTCTGCTGGATGCAACTGTCTCCAAACTGGAGGATATTTAACAAAATGATAAGTAAATCAGTTTTGTCTCATTTAAGGTGTGGAATGCCAGAGCGATGCAAAGAACTGGTAGAAGCAGGATATGATGTTCGACTACCAGACAAAGAAAATGTGACTCTTCTTCACTGGGCAGCGATAACAGAGAGGAGCTGGTGAAGTGAGCTGGGAGTCCCTGTGACA